GCCAAGCGAGGGGAACAAAGGAGTGGCGCACTGCACATGCCCAGAGGCTCGGATTCGGTAGGCAGGGGCATGCGTGAACTTGAATTGGTCCACGTAGGCCAGGTGAATTCAATTCAGCGAATGGGGTAAATGAGGGGTCTTCCACCACGCCTCCCCTTGGAATTCCTTGAAAAGGCAGAAGGCCGGAGTAGAGAGGAAGAGAGCTTTGGCGCAGAGAGCTTTGGCAGGACTTTGGGACACTTTTGTGTGAGGCCGAGCAGCTTCCAACCAGGCCACATGTTCGGGAGGAGCCCCACGGGTGCCGTGTAAACCTGAAACTTCTTCTAACTTTCATAAAACTCACTTGGATCATGAGCCAGGCTTCAGCGTGAATTCTTTCTCGCAGGGAGCCAAGGACGGAGGTATATCTAGCTACAGGGAGATCTAACACTACCTGTGTATTGGAGGATGGGGAAGTGTGGGATATCAAAGACTTTTCCCCAGCTTTGTCCCCACCAAAGATATGCCAAACATTAGAGGCTATTTGCCAGCACATGGTGGGAGGTCAGATGCTCAGAGATCTTCTCCCTGAAGGCAGTCAGGGTTCAGACCACTCTCTGGGGCCCCCACAGGTGGGGCTCACTCCCTGCGGTTAAGGACAGTGGATTACTTTCCCTGTAAGCTTTGGCTAAATCAAGTCTCCAGCTCAAGGGCAATCAAGGTTAGGCCGCCATCATGAATCCAGGATCCACCCGTTTTGTCACATGTGTACCCTCAATCCCTCCCCTTCCTATTGCGTGTACACCCCTAGATAGTCCCCCTCTCATCACTGTGTTACTTTTAGTACAGCCCCTTCCTGTGACATATGTCCTTACCTGTAATTAGGGTGCTTGCACACACCCCAAAAGATATATAAGCTTTGGTTAATAATAAACCGCTCTCGCTTGTTCCTGCAATTTCCACCTTCCACATCCTCACGCGGACCACCAAGTGGGGCTCAGGTGAGCATGCTACCATGAAATGTGTCTGACTCCATTATTCAATCTGTCTTCTATCTCTTTTATTCTCTATGACTTTACTATAATCTCTACATATTATTGCTGTACAATTGCGCCTACCGGACCTGTGATGATTTGTTAGGGGCAGCCTCCCCTGACAGGGAAGTAGAACTGGCTGTATAATTTGGGGGGGGGGGGTGACATGTGGCTGCATATTGGGCTGTATGTCTTGGGGAGCCAGCGTGTACTGGCTGTACCAGGTCAGCGGCTATGAGCCCACATGGCCCTGTGGCCCCGGTGTTTGCTGTCCGTCTGGGCAATGAGAGGAGGGGTCTGACCTGATGCAGAGTTTGCACAGCTGATCCAAGATTCTCAGTGCCCAGCTGGGCCCTGAAGGGGGCCTGGACCCACAAGACTTTCAAGGGATCACAGTCCAGCTCTACCCTCAGACTGGCCCAGGGGTGGGCATGAATGGATCCTTTATCTCCACCATTCTGCACCCACAAGGATGCCTCAGCCCCAGGATCCCCCAAGCCAAGGGCCTTGTGGGGAGGGAGATCAGGTGAAGAACCCAGCAGCACAACAGATGTCAATAGATGTGAATGGGAAATAAATGTGAGCCCCCAGGGGCCACTATCAGGGGCCACCTCCTGTCCCCACAGCTGCCTGCTGCTGTAGAGCGGGCTTTGAGAGGCCGGCAGTACTTGAGGGGACTGTCCTGCCCTGCCCCTCTCAGCTCCTCAGCCCACCTCCGGGTCCCACTGCTCCATGCTTCTGAGCCACACTGACACATGGCAGCCCTGAGAGGCCTGGGGGCCCTGGAGACCCTCGCTCACCCCTGCCACCTGCCCAGGCCAGCACACGGCCTGGTGTCTGTGCTTGAGTCTGGACACCAGAGCTCCAGCAAGCCAGCTGGCCCCAGAGGTCCCATCAGCCAGGGCAGGGGCACAGAACATGGGAGGGACTATCCTGCAGGCCAGAAGGGACACAAGGACAAAGCGGGGGAGTCGACCTCAAAGACAAAGTAGTCAGTGGAATCTTACGCCCCCCCCACCCCTTTCTGGTCTGTTTTCCACAGGTCTCAGCAGTCCCACCACCTGGAATGCTGCTTCCTGGGACCCCATCGGGGAGGGGCCCCCAGGGAGCTGCCCGGCAGCAGCTCCCTTCATCCCTGAGCAGACCTGTGTCTCACTGCAGCCACTTCCTGTGGTGGACAGGGCATGGAGTCCACCTGCTTGGGCGGCCCCTTTGCTCACAGCTGTGGGCCCGCATCTGGCCCTGGGCTGAGAATGTGTATGAGTGACAGCCAGACAGCCAGGCCCACCAATGGAAAAGGGGCCCTGGATCAAAGGGCTGGTACAAAGTTGCAGTGGCCTGTCAGCCGTGGCCCACGGAGGGGTCATCTCTGCACAGCTGGACTGCAGTCTTGTTAGAGCTACCTGAGGCTAGGTGTGTGCTCACAGGACTGGACCAGATGGACTACTCTCAGAGGCAGAAGGGGAGGCCAGGTGTGCACTGATGCTGTCTCTGCTGTCTCTCTCCTCGCCCTCTCTCCTTTCTGGGGAATCTCTGGTGCCACCCCTCCCTGCTGCGGAGCCCCTGGGCCTGGCCACTCAGGGAGGGATGCGCTGGACCTTGTGGTGGCCCGGGACAGGAACTTCAGGCTCAGGAAACTTGGCTGGGCCCTCCGGAGCTTGGGTCCCTTACCGGCTGCACACCCCGCCTCCCCGCGCTAATGGAAACCCGGTGATCCATAGCCGAGCACGCGGCCTCCTGCTCGGGGGTAACGTGGCGGTAATGTACATATCGATGATCAATCAGAGATTTGCAAGAGCGGCACGCGCTATTTAATTATAACTGCGTCCTGCTCCGAGTAATGGCGGCGACATTTGAATAGGTCACAGCCGACCCACACCCTGTTATGTTGTCGGTATTAAATGCCACTCATTCCGAGCTGGGGGCCGTGCTCAGCGTCACAGGGTGGTACACGCCAGGCAAATGGAAAATGTCCCTCTGCGTTGACACCCATGATTGATGGCCTCTGCAAAACACATGCTGCACCCCGCTGTGCCTTGGAGCAGACAGACAGACAGACCCGTGGGCGGGTGCCATCCGGCCTTCCTCTGACTTTGGCATTGAACACCTGCTCCGAAACCCCAGCCTTCATAGAATGTCCCAGAGAACTGTCTCACAGCGGAAGGATAGGGCAGGGTAAGGCTGTCCCCGTGGACTTCCCAGCCTGTAACTCTTTCCTGGAGCAGACCCCTCATCTCTCGAGCACACAGAGGCTGGTGGTCGAACCACCCACCAGCTCAGTGTGTGGCTTGCTTTGCTGCCAGGGTCCTTCAGAGGGTCCTATTTAGGGTGAAGGGCCCACAGCACAGCAGTAAAGCAGGGAGGGGCCCAAAGTAGGACACACATTCCGTTTGCTCTGTGGGTGACAGAGAGCACATTTTGGGCCGGCTGTACAGATACAGGTGCATGCATAGCCCCACCTTTGAAATCAGATGAGTGTCACTGGATGTTTTTTGTAGGGGTACAGACAGATGAGTGCAGACAGGCACATGGGCCACTCCACACAAACACACCCACATGGGTGCCCCGGGTGCTTTGGATGGCCTGGAGAGTCCCTAGCACAGAGGGGAGGTCCGGGACCAGCTGGAACCACATGCCAGGACTATGAGTGGGGTCTGCCTGCTCCAGGCCCTCAGCCTGTACAGTGGGCTCCAGGTGAACACCCCCCCAGCTCTCAGGTGTGCAGGAGGGGTTAGAGAGTTCTGAAAGGCTCAGGCTGCCCCAAAGCTCATGGTCGGCAGGCCTTAGCCGATGGTCAGAGCCCCCACGAAGTCTGGAGGACATGGTCTTCCCTCTTCCCCAAGCCAAGAAAGGAACCTCTTGAGTTTCTCTGGCCAGGACACATGAACCAAAGGTTGCAGCAGCCAGGACGTTGTGACCACAGTCAACGCTAGTCTCCCTGGGTTTGACGAGGCTCGGGGTCTCCCTCCTTAGCCTGTCACCCCCACCTGGCAAGGCATGGGGATGCACTTCACAGCCCCGTAGGTGGTTCCTACTGTCTACAGAAGTACCTGCTCGCTATCACCAAGTGGAGCAGGCTAGCTATAACTGGCCAGCGCTCAGATGAGCTCTCAGAGAGCACGGCTGAGCAGAGGGCTGGTGGGAAGGATAAGGTTGGTCAGATGGCCCCACAGAGCCTCATTGTGTTTTGAAAACAATGCCCACTCCATGGCATCATTAAACCACAGGCATTTCTAGGGTTGCAAGCCCGGACCTCCCTCCTGTCTCCATTTGCATGCCCCACGCTATACCAGGAAAGCTGCCAGCTAGCTCTCTTCCCAGGGAGATGGGCAGAATGGAACGTGGGAGAAGGGGCTTCACCTGGCTGCTCAGAGGGACCCCAGAGTGGGGTGCGTGCTCCCCCAAGACGATCCCAAACCCTGGCATCTCCCCAGCTGCCACCCTCTGTCTGAACAGCAAGTGCACAAACCTTCAAACCACCATGCAGTGATTCTGGTGACAACACAGGCTGTATTTGTTCACAGCTCTGACACACGATCACACCCACCCCGTCCAGGGGTCTAGCAAGGAGTCCACATCACAGTCACACTTTTCCTCGGGGGGAAGATGCCCTTTAGGCTGTGGGCAGATTCTGCAGTGACCCAGGCCAAGCTGTCTCTGCAGACCCCGGTGGCCGGTGGGTCTTCTCTTTGGAGCCGTGCTGCTGGGTGACTCTGACCCTGAAGTGAGTCTGGGGTCCAGCGGGGCTTTTCTGCAGAGGAACTTGTCTGCAGAGCGTTGACAGCGCAGCAGCACAGTGAACAAGCTTCGGCAATAGGGTGCCTCCGGCCAAGAGCTGATCAAATTGCCTGCTGAGTCCCAAGAAGTTCGCAGGATCTGTGAGCCCTGCAGAGGGGCTCCGGCAGGGATGCTTGCCAGAACCTTCCAAGGAGGTCCTGTCGGGGAAGACAGGCCCCACACCCACCGGAATCGGCTAGCTCCCCCACCTCACATTGCCCAGAAACGGAGGCTGGTCAGCTCTGACTGAATCCGGGGACGCTTGCCCACCTGCGTGGGGTGGGGCGACCCCGGCCCCGGGGAGGACAGGATGTAGTCGATGCTGAATTTGATGTCCCTTTGGTCGGACTTCCCCAGCGCCGCAGGGACGGCGGGAGTCTGGGGCACAGTGGGGAGGGCCAGGACCGGGGACCTGGGCGCACCGGCGGCGGACTGGAGCGGGCCTTGGGGTGCCCCCGCGAGGCCCGCGCACGATGCCCCGAGCCCCTCGTCTCGGGAGGCCCGCTTGGGGCCGCGTCGCCTGCGCCGCCGCCGGTAGTTCCCGTTCTCAAAGAGGTCGAGCAGCGACTCGCAACCGCCGGCAAACGTCCAGTAGTTGCCCTTGCCCTTCTCGTGGCCCTCGGCCCGGGGCACCTGCAGGCGCAGTGCGGGCTCAGCGCGACCGCTCCCCCAGCGTCACCGTTGCCCACCCGTACGCACCCCTCGGCTACCAGTGTGTCCAGGGGGCCCGCAGCGGGGCCATCCGGGACACCGCGGGGCCGCCCCTAGGGGGAGACCTGGGTGGAGGTTCAGTTCAGAGGCGGCGGAGGGACGCCCGCGCCCCTCTCCGCTCGCTGCCTGAGGATTGGGGCAGGGCTGCCTCTCACCTTGACGAAGCAGCTGTTGAGCGACAGGTTGTGGCGTATGGAGTTCTGCCAGGCGCGCTGGTTGGCGCGGTAGTAGGGGAACTGGCGCGTGATGAAGTCGTAGATGCCCGAGAGGGTCACGCGGCCCTCTGGGCTCTGCTGGATGGCCATGGCGATGAGTGCGATGTAGCTGAGGACAGGCGGCCCAGCCGTCGGGAGGGGGCCCTCGCCCGTGCCCCCGCCCTGTCCTCCCGCAGGATGCCGTGGGAGTGTTGGACGTAGGGCACAGGAGGGCACCCCAGAGCTGCTTTCCTGGGTATTTGACGGTGCCCATGGGGAGTGGGGCGCACTTTCCCTCCGGCCCTGAACGTGCAGAGCGCACTCACCAGCCCTCCCGAGAGGACTGCGCCCCAGCCTCCTCCATCCCCCAGCCTCCTCGATCCCGGTGGAGGGTCCGAGAGGGTGGCAGCACGCATTCCTGCAGCTCTGCCGCCCGCCCGCCCGCCCCCAGTCACCTGTATGCCGGCCGGGAGAGCAGCTTCTCCTGCTCAGGGCCGGCGGGGAAGTCCTCAGCGTCGTTGAAGCAGTTGTAGGGGTACTGGGAACTGTCGAACATCCTGGCGCCCACCCGCCCGCGCAGGTCCCCACGGAGCGGAACGAACTTCTCCGGCTGGGCTGCCGTCTGCTCAGCGCAGGAGCCAGAACCTGGAACCGGGCTTCTGGGGTCCCCCGCCCACCCCACCCGGCGCTCCTGCATCCAATCCCCGCTCGAGGAGGCCCCAGCACCAGTGACAGCTGCGTGGGGAAGGGGGGGTGGGGTAGCAGAGCAGCGGCTCCTCCGTGACCCTCTGACCAGCCTGCTGCGGAGGAGGGAGGCACTCTGCTGGGTGGTCCCCTCCACTGTGGGGCAGCCCCCTCCACTGCGGCTCCCTGGGGGGTAGGGGCTGCCTCCGCTAGCAGGGTTCCTAGCTCCCTCGAGGAGACACATCCTGGAGCTCCCTGGTCCCGGAGTTGTGGGTCTGACCTAGCCTGGAGGGGCTTCCCCAGGCCCCTCGAGGGTTCTTGGTGGACACCGGGCTGGAGCAGCAGGAGCGCAGCCAACGCAGGACCTGAGGCTTTTCCAGGCCCAAGCAGCAGAGGGGGCGCAGGCTGGATCTGTGGGGCCCAGGCAGTGGCTCCTGTGGGAAGTGGGCAGAGGGACAGGAAATGCTCCCATGGGGTCTGGGTGAGAGAGCTCCCCCCCACCCCCACCCCGCAGCACTTTCCCTCAGGCCTCCTTGTGATCTAACTTGTTGCATACTGCCCAGAACTGTGCTTCCTTGAACCAAGATCCCTGTCCAGTAACCCCCAAGCCCAGGTCCATGGGCAAGGCCACTGGTGCTGCACAGCCAGCCCAGGACGCTGACCCAAGAAGGAAAGAGGAAGGAGGAGACCTGGGCCCTGATCTTTGGGGCAGCGAGGTGGGCATTCCGCCAGAGGCATTTCCGAGGGTCCACAGAATTCCAGCCAGACCCGGTGAGTGTCCTCCTGAGGCCAGGAACCTTGGGACAGGGGCTTTCTTCTAGAACTTCTTCCTGGGAGGCAGAGCCCGAAGTGCTGAGATGGCCAGGCAGGCTTCGGTCACAGGTGACCCCTGGCCCCAGGGCACCCGCTGTGGAGGCTCAGTGCACCCAGTGGTCCCACTCTGTCCTCTCACCATCAGAATCATACAATTGAATCCAGACCAGAGGTCACGTTGGTCACAGTGGCTTTGGGATGCTGACATCTAGAGGTGCCCAAGCCAACTGTGGTCCAGTTGATTCCAGTACCCAGCGGTGTGTGTGTGTGTGTGTGTGTGTGTGCAAGTGTGTAAGATTGTGTGCAGTATGTGTGAGGGTGTGTGGGTGGGATCTGTGTGTGGGTGGAGTGTTTGAGTGTGTGTGTGTTTGTGTGTGTGGCGTCTCTGTGTGTCTGTGTGAGCATAGCAGAGGTAGCAGTGAAGCCCAGGTACGGGGGCTGGGGGCCTGCCTCTGCCCTGGGGTTCTCCAAGGATCCTGACAGCCTCATCACCAGCCTCCCCCCTCCTCTCTTCATGCCCCACCAAACCTTCAGCTGGATACTTTGGGTGCTGTTGACCCGAATGGAGATCTTGGGAGCCTGATGTCAGTCATCAGTGGAGGGGGACTGTGGGGGAGGCGGGCTGTCCCCTCAGTGGAGGGGGACCAGGGGTGGGGGGGAGGCAGGCTGTCCCCTTGGTGAGAGCAGCCGAGTGGCTGCAGACCAGGCCAGCCTTCAGAGCCTTGCACAACAGCTGTGACTGGAACGCAGGCTTTGCAGCCCCAGTCAGGTCTCCGGTCAGTACGAACAGGACTTCACCGGGACGGGGGTCTGAGGGTCTGGGGACATGTCTAACATTCTCAGCTGGGGCTTGAGACCAGCTCCTAACTTACATACTCCATCTATTAAGGCCACCTCCAGGAGCAGCCTGGGCAGGAGGAATCCTGCCGTGCTCCAGACTCCACAGAGCCTCGGGGCTGTGCTCCTGCACAAAACCAGGAGCCTCTGGAGCCGAGAGGGGGGCTCCACTAGAATTGGGTTTCTGAGGGCAGCCAAGGCCGTCAGGGATGGAAGCTCAGGGGGTGGCATCTGACAGGCATCTGGGAACTCTTCCCACTGGGCCAGGGTGGGGAGCCCTGGGTCACCTCGTGGGTGAAGCATACACAGGCAGATGAGAGACAGACGTGGCTGCTGACTGGGATGTCAAGCCCTCCTCGACACTCTGTTGGCTGTGCTGCCTGCAGCCAAACAGCCCTGGCCTGCAGACCAGCCAACAAGCCGTTCATAGGGTCCACGCTCTGGTGGTCGGCTGCCGCAGCCGGCCCACCACCAACAGAAGGAAACCCACTGCTGGCCCCACGCCAGCTCCGCAGTCCTGATGGGCAGCTCACGTGGCTCATCGAGGGTCTTCCTCCATCTTCTGATCCTCTGTGGTCCTCGGAAGGGTGCCCTCCTTGAGGGACTGGTCCCTCCTGATCACACATGCATGAGACCCTGCCCTCCACACACTCCAGCCAAGAAGCGGTGTGCCCTGCTCTCCTCCGCCGCCAGACGGCTCCTGGCAGCAGCTTTGATTACTAAGTGGCAAAGTCAGGATCTGCCTTGGGCCTTTTGGTGTGGCAAGGAGGCTTGGCCGGCGCAGTGGGCTGCACACGGCCACCCACCACAAGGTGGTCCGTGGGAGCCTCCCAGCTGCTCTGAGGGACCCTGAGGAGGCTGTCTGCTCCCGGAACATTCTGCTCTGCCCTATGGGGTCTCTAGAGAAGGGCTTGGTTTAAGTGGGAGCCAGGAACGTCTGTCCAGCAGGCATAATGCTGGCTTCCTCTGGGGGAGGAGGGAGCCGGCCAGGCTGTCTGGGCCCAGAGAGAGCTACAGCTCAAGCCATGGGGTGCCCCCACCCTGTCCGCAGGTCACTGTGAGTCGGTGTCTACTCGATGGCAGTGAGCTTGGCTTTTGAGTTTTAGGTCTGAGGAGGCCACCAAGGTAACCGCGTTTTGAGTTTTGTTGTTGTTGCTGCTGTTGTTTTTAACGAAAACAGGGTCTTTGTGGCTGCGGTCACTTCAGAAAAAACAGTGGAAACTAGAATGGAAAGACAGCCGACGTCCTCCGTGAGCAGTTTGAAGTCCCTCTTGGGTAGTGACAACTCTGACAGCTTATGGAGCTGACAGCTGTTACTGCACTGCCACAAGTGTCTCGGCTGAAGCTAACGCCCACGGGCCACAGTCCTGCAGGTGGGAAGCCAGGAAGGGGCTCCATCCAGGTGACATGGCCTCTTCTGGGCACCCGGGGTGGGGGGGTTGTGGCACCGCTGAGCCGTGAGGAGCACCAGCTATTGCTGACTGTCAGCAGGGGTCCATTCCTTGCCACAGACCCCTCCATCTTCACACCACAATGCCTCTCTGGGCCGTCTGGGCTCCAGACTTCTGACTTGCTTCTCTGCACCCAGCCAGGGCTGCAGCCAGCCACGCTCAGGCAGCCACAGCAGGGTTGCGGCAGAGTCCCCTCACTCAGGCCAGGTGGCGCAGTGGTTATGCCCTGAGCTGCTGACCCAAAGATTGAGGGTTCAAACCCAGCAGATGCTTCCCAGAAGAAAAAGGAGGTGGTCTGACTCCATACTGACTCCCAGTGACCCCTGAGGACAGGGGGGACCTGCCCCTGTGGGTTTCTGAGGCTGTGACCCTTTCTGGGAGCAGACAGCCTCACCCTTCTCCTAACGAGTGGTTGGTGGGTTCAAACTGCTGACCTTTGGGTTGGCAGAACAACTTGTGACCCCCCTATAGCACCGGGCTCCTCTGTTAGGAAGGCAGCCTTGAGGCCCCTGTAAAGCCATCCCATTTTGTCCCATCGGGCTGCTGTGGTCAGAATTGGCTCTAATTAAACAGGAATGGCTATGGCTCATGGGGTCACAGCCTGCGTGCGAGGCAGGTGTCTACACGCCATGGGGCAGAAAATCTCAGGACGCCTTAGAGTTCTGTCATCTGCCACAAAAGGAGACCTGCTCAGGCTTCCTGGGCTGCTGCAAGGACTGGCCACACATTTGGCCGCTTCCAGTGACCGACACGCACCGCAGCGTAGGTCAGCAGGAAGCCCGAGAGCTGACTGTGTGGTGGCCTCCGGGGGCATGGGGACATGGGGGGGCCGACTCCATTGGATGATGCTGTCAGCGGCCCACTCGAGTGCCCCTCAGGTTTGTGTGCAGTGTCCCCGCACACGCTACTCACTGTGACCGCGGCTTTGGTTTGAGGCAAACTTGCACGTCTTCACGTCCGGATCCGAGTCGCTTCAGGTTGATGTTTCCTCCCTTGGTGGCTGCTCAGCCCAGAGCTGAGAGCCCACAGGGAAGGAGTCTGGAGGGTCGACAGGCCATGAGCCTTCTCTCTTCTTCTTAAAAAACACGTTTGATTTATTTTGGCCTTTAAAGAAAAGCATATTCTGTGTCGTCTAGGGGGAGCTCTGGAGGTATAGTGGTTACCCACTGGGCTGCGACCTGTAAGGTCAGCAGTTTGAAACCACCAGTTGGTTTCAGGAGAAAGACAGAGCTTTCTACTCTCGTCAATGGTGACGGTCTCAGAAACCCACAGGACCGCTGCGGTCACTGCGAGTTTGGTTTGGGTTTTGAGTGTGGTCACACTGCTTGTGGTAGCTACAAAATCTGGTGTTAATTTGAGAGTATTAAGAGTGAAGGGGTAGAGTTTAGTCTGTCAATCAGGTTGCAGCTTAATGACCTCATTTGGAGGCACTAAAGAGATAAATAGCTCACTGGAGGTCAGACACACACTCACTCCCTGTGAGACATTCCTGTGGACAAGACACATGAAGCTACGCTAGAGCCCTGGAGCTGAAGAGCCACGTGGAGACCCCTGCCAGCACTGAGATACTTCCACTGCCACTGGACCCACAAGACTTTCCACCCACTGGCCTGTGACCTTCCTGCATTCAGCATCAATGCATGTGTTGCGTGAGTCTGAAGAGGACTTTGTAGATTGGTATCGGACATATGGGCTACTATTGGACTGATGAACTTGATCTGGACTGGGCTGGGATGTTTTTCCATATACAATTGTTATTGTATATAAAGCT